TCATCCTGCCCATTGACAGACTGAGACGACGAACCAGGGATGACATCATCATTATTCTGAGATGAATGGTCATCCATGTCGTCTTCTGACAAAACATCCATTTTGTTCAACTAGTGGGAGCGCAAAACGCTCTCCCACTGAACGCACAGACACAATACACAGAAAACACTACAAACACAGAAATACAAAATGAAAATTTAACTAATGGGGGAGTAAAAGAAACAAGAAAAAAACAAAAACTTATCTGATAATCCTATACTACTACCACCGAGCGTTATATGTGTAGGCGTTTACACCGATGGCTGGGAAGCGACGCGCAGCGTGGATGACCTTCGCTGTGGTGCACTTGATCGAGGCGCGGCACTCAGCGCACACAGGCGCACGATGAATGATGAACGATATAGATGTAGAAACGGGTGCTCCTCACACTCGATGATGATGATACGTGAGCGGGTATGCGTAAGCGCGTATGCGTGACCACGCAACGATGATGCCCAAATTTGTTTGCGAATTTCCAATAGCACGGATTAATCTTTCTGAAAATGACACTTTCTACTAAAAAAAAAACTCACTTTTCGATCAATTTACCGGGAACTATGCCAGGAGTCACTTAGTGAGAAAAAACTGATAAATTATATCAAGCGAATACCGAAAAAACTTCCAAAACAACGGAGCGCGAAACAAGTCGACCGTACTTCTTGCTAGGACGCAGTGGGATTTTTAAGTCTTTAATGGCAATCAAACGAAACTTTCTCCAACACACACTAGCCTACAATGTTCTCTACTGACCTTATCCCCAGCACCTACATTGTGTTGACGACGAACCTTGATACTACTCAGTTCATTTATAGTGCTTATTTTTACGAGTCGCTCGTGAAACCCTGCAGGATTCCTAGGACAAGTTTACTTTTCTCGTTTATCACGTCGCCCGCCGTGGCGGGATCCATTCCACTTACTGTTTGTTGCTGTTCGTAAAATCCTTGCAGTCCATCGGTGTCATAACCTTTCCCCATGAGTGCACACATTCCCCCACTAACTCTTCGGAAGCAGCCAGCTGCTATTAATCAAACATCCGTTTCCCGGACCCGCACTGGAATTCCTTACGTAACGAGTAAAAGTTCTCTCCGCTGGCTGGCTGGCGCTTGGAATTCGCTACTTTTGCTGTTTTGTTTTATTTTCCTTTTCGTCGTCGGTCGGTCCAGTTTATTTTTTATTGTACTGTTATCAACTCGAATTCAGTGAAGCGAAGCTGGTGAAATTTTTCGCCCGAATGAAGCAAAAGTTGGAAAACATTTCCAAGAAGTGGCCACCGACCACTGGACTGTCCGGTTGGAGTTGCGGAATGTCTAACTTAGCTGGGGATTGTTTTGAACGGAGTATTTGATTACTACGAAGAAGTGGATCGCATTGCCAGATAAAAACGGGCAATTCAATGGTTATTTACGTGCAATCCTTCACAGCTCTAATAAGGTCTTATATAGGGGCTGGGATGAGAATAATCATTTATTCGTATAAAAACATTTGATTCCTACCTTTTTCGTGATAGGTAATACAAACTCATCAGCAGCTACGAGGCTTGCAAAGCAAACAAAACTCAAGTGCCTACCCCCTTGAGCTGTGCATTCAAACCAGCTACGCATACACAAACGTGTCTCCATTCACCAGCATCCTCAACTGGATAAACAAGCCTCCAGTAATGCTGCTGTATAAAAGTGTGATGTTTACTTTTGACCCCGTAACTGTTACGTTCATGTGTGCTACCACCAAACTGCGTCGTTCGCTACAAGTTCAAAGTTCGAAAAAAAAATTCAAATGGAACCTTGTTTTATTGTTTCAATGAAAACATTTGCGAATGTGTAGCTGTAAATTTGAAAAACATGGTTTAAAAATACAGATCTTTTCCCTCCTGGTTTATTCACACGGCAAAAGACAACAAACGATACGCCACTGCACTCATGTGTACACGGCTACCTCTCCTATAACAATGGCGGACCTTATCATCACACGGATGAATAGACCGACTCAAAATTGAGTTAGATTCGAGTGGATTTACTCGCAAAGTGAGTTGAAATGTTTCGAGATGTTCCTCAAAAAACTGCTCGAATATGAGTAGGAGTATGCTGACTGAATGAAACCTCCGTCGATTTTCCTCATATTCGAGAAGTTCTTCCTAGAAAATATAGGAAAATTCAACTCACCTTGTGAGTAAATTCACTTTTTGCAAAATTGTGTCGAATCCAACTCAATTTTGAGTTGATCTCATCGTCCACACATGCATACGGCGGGAAAAAAAATGGCCAATGGCACTTGCTGGCTGTGAATTCCAAGCGCATTTTGAGTGGTGGTTGAGATAGTCCACGTTTCGTTTCATCGGGAATGACGCAGCCAACCAAGTCCAGCTGTTATGGCGCTGTTGTTTGTACCACTGACTGGCTGTCATACACTCATAAAATAAATCACATAACCAGTGGAAAATATCCGTGTGAATTTCACATAACCTTCATGTTCACTAAATAACATGAACGTTATGTGAATCTATGTGATTTCTCATATAGAATTTCTAATGCTATGTGATATTCAGGTAAAAATCATTGTTTTTGTTTTTGGAAAAATACTATGTGCGTTCCTAATAGAAACTAAGGGAAAACTTTTTTCAGTGTAGTTCGCCGTACGCGGCCGACCACGATGCCGATGCATAACAATCTTCGGGCATGGCGCGAACAAAAGGATAAGCTCCGTGGGTTTTTCCACCATTTAGCCACTGGACTTTTTAACACATAGGGGAAATGTCTCTAATGGTGGCCTATGGATCTAAGATTGGGCCTATCGCTAAAAATCTGCTATTGATCAATTTTTTCTAGATGAACGCGTTATTGGGACGTTACTAATGGATATTTTTGGTTGCTATTGAAAATCTAGTCGATTGCTGAATTTATGTGTGGGCGAAAATTAGGGACACTTAGGCCGACATTACCTGCATTTCCCCTATATGGCACGGGACAATGAAGAATTTTGGTGTAGCTCCGGGGGTCTCTTTCCCTGTCAACCACATATAGATGCTCTATAGCTCATATGAATTTAATAGTTTGGGCAATCTGACACTTTTGGACAAACTGATAGACGTAAATCTGAGCCCTCCCCATGGACATGGAGGTTGATGGTACTGAAGCAAAGGGTTATGTTCAATTTCTTTATATTTGCAACGATGATGATTTCCTATAGTGAGTCAATGATATCAAAAAATCGCTTCTAGCGATCAATGAATACGCACACACCTGCTACAAGATTTTTTTGCATCATCATAAGCTAACGATGAACTCTGACTCTTAACACTAATACGCAGAGAGCATTTCGAACAGTGAGTTACCAAGGTCTCAAGAGAGCAAGACGATAACAACATCATTGCTCAAGATAACTACGCAAGGCTTGTTGTGAGTGCACGCTAGAAACTAAAGATCTCAATGCGTACAGCTGAGTACAAGAAGTTGTTCGGATTATCTACAACTGATGAACAACCGTGATCAGATCATGATCATTGCCATAATGATCGTGATTTTTTTTTTTGATTTTTTCAGTCTGTGAATTAGGAAAGACGCATGTACTTGTGTTGACGGCATTGCACAGTGGTTTGAATGCTCAATATCACGAACTTTTTTATTAACGCCTTCAATGTCGGTTTTCTTCACTATGATGTCTTTAAAAGAGTTTTTGTATAAAATAAGGCGCAAATACTAGTGATAGGTTTTAGTTCGGAACTCCACCACAGGCAGCGCTGCAAAATCTAGCTTTTTACATTTACAAGATAGCCCAAGTAACATTTCAAGTTTTATCGCGGTTTTAAAGCATTCTACAAGTCAAAATCATGCTCTATGCATTGTTTTTGCCGGATCTGGCATCTGCTCACTATGCTTCTGCTACGTTGGAGATGCTCAAGAAGGAAAAAGTCGTTTTTGTCGAAAAATTCCAAAATCCCCCAAGTACTGCCCTGAACTGCTTCCTATCGAAAGATACTGGGCAATAATTGAACGCCATCTTATGAAAGATGAAAAAGAAGCAAGCTCTGTTGCTCTGCAGCACAACGAAAAGTTGTGCAGAATCTAATAAGCGGTAGCAAGAGAAAAGTCCAAGCGTTCTTCACAAATGAGAAGTAAACATTGAAACTCACGTGAAATCGGTCATATGTATGTTGATTTTCGTTGATATAAAGTAAACTTATGAATTTGTTCGAAAATAAATATTTTCCTTTGAGAAACAGGTGTCTACTTTCATTAATGAACAGTCCTTATGATCAGGGTTGCTTCCACTCACTTGCTATAAAAAAATGATTTTCTGAATTTTGAAATCATTCGATGTTATAATGATATTTTGTACTTGTTAGACACAAGAAGCGGATGAAAGGCAAGTGTTTGACTCATAAAACCTGTCAATTTTGCTACCAGAGTGTTACAATAAGCAATTTTATGATTCGTGAGCGTTCACTCAGAGTGAGCGCTCGCGAGTCGTAAAATCGCTGATTGTGACTATCTGAAAACGAATTTGACAGGTTTCATGTGTCAAACACTTGCTTTTTAACCTCTTTTTGTAACTAGAAAGTACAAAATATGGTTGTAACATCTAATGATTCCAAAATTCAGAAAATCATGTTTTTATAGCAAGCTTGTTTACTTTCCATGATTTACGTCAAAGACGGTTTACGTCTTGTGTAAAAAAGCTTATTTCTAAGTGTGTTATTTTCTTATGTGTATTGCAAGAGATAAAAAAAGGAAAACGCTGACACCAACATTGAAAAGGCACGGGACTTAAATCATATAACATGAACTCATAGACTGGAAAAGACAGTAATTTTCGATTTGCTGAAGCAGAAGGAAGCGTATACTGTTGCTTCGGTGTAGGCTTTATAGGGCAACAATAGCTACCTAAATATAAGTATAGTGAGAGAGTGTGAGACAGAGCTAACACAGTAAAATGGGTACAAAAGCCATCGCTTGCAAGGTACTCACTGAAAACAGAGCCGACGACGTCGGTGTGGAACCGGAGGCGGCCGCCGTGCTTCCGTAGTTGAACTGCGTCTGGTAGTTGCTGCTGGAGAGGATCTTCTTGTGTGCTGATGCATGGGCTCGATAGGCACTGACACTCAGTTTCATTGTTGACCACCGGAATAAACTGCTCTCGAGCTATAGCTATGGGCTGCTGAGAATCGCACACACACACACACCCTCACACGCGGTGAGCTTACTTAATTACTGCAAGCTTACTTTCTTCTGATTTTCGGACACTTCCCAAAACCGACTCAACTACAATGCACCCACGCCGTCGTTTTCTACCGCCTTCCTTCACTCGGCTTGGGAGCCGGCCCACTCAACGCTCGTCACTAATCTCTTGCTCTTGCTCCTTTCCGTTTCCGCCTAGCCTGGGGATCAGCAGCGAATCGTCACGGGCAATTAGCGATGACATCTACTGCTGCTGCGGCGGCTGGCAACACTGGTGCCATTCATGTTGCTCCGGACACGAATCCCTCCGGGGATCTGTAAAGTGAACACACAGAGGAAAAGGGAAAGATGAGAAAAGAACATTACATAAACCGGGGGCGGTTTGGGTTGGTGGTAATCCCATTAAGGATAAAACGGTTATCGCATTTTGATTAATTGAATTATAGCTCGGGGTACTTAATTTATCTCCGGTAGATGAAGTCTGCTTTGTTGCTGGAATAGGACAATTTGTAACCCATGGTTTTCCTAAGTTAATGGTGAGGATAAGAAGTTTGAGATGGAGATGTTTTTTTGGATTTCGAAGGTTGTGAGCACGAGAAGGGAATACTAATACTAAATTACAGGGCATTGTTTCGTATAACTCTTCAGCGCACAGCAGCCATCAGACATTTCTGCCATTGAACTCACCGAACTTACCGCTATTTCAGCTCAGCTCAGTTGACTTCCTTTTACCTCCAAAAAGCAATGCGGCTGCAATGTAGGTATCGTTTCCAGCACCTAAAGCAATACTTTTTCGTAATTGGATACGCTAATAAACCCGACAAGGACGATGACGACGGCGGTGCTAGAATATTTCCAATATTGAATTTTTCCAGCTCCGGTGGCCACTTCTGGGAAACGGAGCGACAGAGCTTTGCTCTAGCGTTCATGCGTAACAGCCTATTTTTTTCAACAAGGTTTATACAGTAACCCCTCCATATATGCACTGTGGGTGGTACCGTCCACCCACCGCTGTTTCGCGGCTACCCTTGAACCAATTGAGCTAATTTTCTGTAGGTAACTAGTTTATGGTTGACACTAATCACATACAAAAAAATCAACGTTATTGGTACCACCCCCCGCATACACGGAAGGAACGCTGTTTGTAGATAGACGATAGGAGAAAAAGAGAAAAAAAGAGAACTGATAGACCGGGAAAGGTTCGTTTGAGTAAAGTTTATTATCTTTTGCCGCCTTCTGATCGTCTTGTTTTTTGGCTGTAAGGAAATTCATTGGACGCCTTCGAATGGAACGGAAATAAATAGAGTGGACAAAGATTTCACGGCAGGTAATGGAGGGCGAGGAAAAAAAAAGGTTTTTCTTTTGCTCGGGAATTTTAAAGATCACTTTGCGCTGAGTGCTAATTGTAAGCTGCTTTAAAATTATGAGCCAATTCTTGTGGAAATATGCAATGTTCATGAGAAGTTTAAGAGGCATTTTTGTAATTATGTATAGATTTCAACATATTTTGAGCATATCTCGGAGTAATCCTGCACATAATAAGATTAATTTAATTTATTTTAGAAATCACCCAGCTGTGCTATTCCTGGCAAATTGAACCTCAATTCTCTTGATGATGATGATGATGATTGAGACTACCACTCATGTAGCAAGGCGCCTGCACATAGCAATGGGCAATCCAATCTGGACGGCTTGATCAAGTCCCACTGACAAATCATATTCAGCTTGGCACTGTATGAAGGGCCAAAAACGGAGGGGTGGACCCGTAAGCAGAAACACCCACACGAAACCCACCGGGAACAGAATAAGAATCTCCATGCAGCAACCAGGATCATATAATTCGCAATGAACAAGCCCTCGTCCTGAAGGATGCCCCATGAGTGTGGAGAAGAGCCCGCCCTCTATCCACGAAATTTTAGCAACAGGAAGTTGGCAATCCCACTTTCCCTATCCAAATCGCTTCAATCGGTTCTCCTGTTGGACCCTCCCTTCCCTTTTGTATATTTATTTAAATGTATAACTACGGGATCAGGGCCGCGTTCGGGATTTAAAAAAACACTTAGCACTGCATTAACTACTTATATTCAGGAAAAAGATACACTTCTTACTTCACTAACGTCCGAAAGGTAAAAGAGAGCGTGAATCGCTTCGATACTTCCTTTTGTAGACTATAGTTGCTGACTCGGATGATCGGCAACTGCGCTGGACTCTCCGGGTCGATGGCTGGAACTATTGCTGACTCCTACAGATTCCTATGGCTGGTGGATGGCTGTGTTGGGGGAGGGGGGGGGGGTGAAAAAGTGTCGTCCTTGGCACTTGGCGTCTTCAGGGTTTTATCCTCAACTCTTTGAACTTCCTCAGGCTCCTCTTTTCTTGATTTCTGTTTTCGTCTCCTTAATTTAGATATTCTCCTGGCTACTCTGTCGATTGACCGTCTAAGATAGATAAGGATGAGCATTATCAGTATGATTGTTGTTACTGACAATCCTCCAAAAAGACTCCAAATTCGCGTCTCGTTGTTGAACTGCTTTAGAGACACATGATGAAGTAGTTCCCTGTTGATCCGTGTACGGTTGTCTATCAGGGTAATATTTAAATCGTTCTTTAACCAGCTGTTAATTGGAATGTTGTGTAGAGCTGCTTGAATGAACTGATATTTTGATGTTACTTCCTTTGAATTATATGTTGTGTTCCCAAATTTAACCGTGCAATTTGAAAATGTGACTATAAAATTTCCGGTCAGGTTTCTATTGTCTGCTCCACAAGTTGATGAGATTGTGCTGTTTCCTGCGTTTGTTATTAAAATGGTGTTGTCGGCTATTAGTTTTCCTTCTATACGATGATCTGTCTTGATGATGCATTGAGCAACTCTACCCAGTATGAGTGGTTGAATGCAGTTGTCTGAGAATTCTTGAATGAATGAATGTCGTTGCACGTATTCGGTTGGTTTGCTTGTTGTGAGAAGCGATTTCTTGTACTTGATTAAGAATTTCGGGTGCTCCTTGATGATATTGTTGTTGATATTTAACGGGAAAATTTGGATGATATCAGCTTCTTCCGGTTCCAGTTGTGGTACGTGTAATATGTAGAGAAGCGAGTTTTTACTGACTGCTATCTTCGGCGTTACGAAATAAAATGCCTCGTCGGGTAGGTCCACTTTTATTCCCTGTTCCTCTAGTAGCGTCCCTATTGTGTTGATTTCCTTCATAGACAATATTCTCGTGTTGACGGTAAACGTTTTTGATAAGATTATAGTGTCCTGAACGTCCAGTAAAATTTTGTTAATTGAGTCGATATTTAGAATTGTAATAAGTGTCTCAATTTCGTTCAGAACTATTTTGTTAGTGTATGAGTTTTCTACTATCTTATTAACGGTATTTGTTAGACTTTGTAGCCTTGAGTTCATTTGTGAATTGATTTGGTATTGTTTTTTTTTGTTTTCAGTAATGAGGTCGTTCAAGATACGGATTGAATTTGTTGATGGCCCAAACTATTGCGAGAGCTTCTTTTTCGATGGTGGCGTATCTTGTTTCCGCATCATTTAAAGTTCTTGATGCGAACGCTATTGGTTTTTCTACTTTATCTTGAATTTGAGATAGTACGGCGCCGACGGCATAATCGGATGCATCGGTCGTTAATATAAATGGTTTGTCGAACTGTGGGTATGCAAGTACTTGGTCTGTGGAAATAATTTGTTTCAATGTTGTAAACGATTGAATATACGACGGGTCATTGGGGTTTATGATTACGTCCTTTTTAAGGTATTTAGTCATTGGGCGAGTAATTTTAGAAAAATCTTGTATGAACCGACGATAATAGCCTGCCAGGCCCAGAAACTGTTTAATTTCCTTTTGAGTCTTTGGTGTAGGCCAGCTAATTTTATTAATTACTTTATTTGTACAGGCTCAATCGAATAAAATTTACAGAGCCGAGTTATCTTTTTTGTTATACATTATTGATGTCTTATATTTAAAGTTAAAGGAGCTGGACCGGATACTCGCGATTGTCTCGAGGTTAGTGGAGATTTACAATTTTTTTTTGATGGGAAAAGGGAGAGGGAGGTTTGAAATGTGGTTTACGATACAAATATTTAATTAATCCTAAAACATGAACTAATTTCTATTCATCTTGAAAACAAACATAAAAAAAAACCCACACGTACAAAATACAAACTAAACACAAGGTTAATAAAACTTACAATCTAATGTTAATATTCTTAAAGTAAACATATATGAGTTTCATAAACTCCAGATCGCGTCTAGCCAAAATATCCCGAACTGGAACATTAGGTTGTCTACCTCGAGCCCGAAGGGAATCGTACAGTTCAGATCTGACTCCGCGATGCTCAGCACAAGACCAAATAATGTGATCTGCGTCCTGGTAACCTTGTCCACATTCACAGAGATTGCTGTCCTTCAGCCCAACACGGAACAAGTGAGCGTTTAACGAATAGTGATTGGACATGAGGCGAGACATCATACGAATGAAGTCTCGACCCACATCCAACCCCTTGAACCAAGGACTCTTCGACACCTTAGGGATGATCGAATATAGCCATCGTCCCAAACTCCCTTGACTCCACTTATTCTGCCAGCTGTCGAGTGACTGTTGACGATAAATGAAGAAAAATTCATTGTAGGCGATTTGTCGATCGTAAATATCGCCTTCCATAGCGCCCACCTTAGCAAGTGAGTCAGCCATCTCATTGCCCGGAATCGAGCAATGAGATGGGACCCATGCAAAGGTGATGACAAAAGATCTTAAAGATAAAGCACTTAAAAGCTCTCGTATTTTCATGAGAAAATACGAGGAGTGCTTTACCGGTCTCATGGAGCGAATAGCCTCGACAGAACTGAGACTATCCGTAAAAATAAAATAATGATCTGGTGCAAGTGAGGCGATCGTTTCTAGCGTATAATGTATTGCCGCCAGTTCAGCAACATATACGGAACAAGGAGCTTGAAGCATTCGAGAGGCGCTATGAAATTCGTTAAAAATACCAAAACCAGCGGACGACTCTATTAGTGATCCATCTGTGAAGAACGATCTTGCGGAATCAACTTGGCCAAACTTTGCAGCGAAAATTGACGGAGCAATCATGGAACGATGATGCTTTGGGATTCCGCGAATCACTTGCGTCATGGATAAATCAAAATGAACAGAATTGTCGAAGTCGGAGAAGCATACACGACGAGGATTATGCTGTGAAGGGCTGACATCCTGTGTTATGTACACGTAGTACAATGACATAAAACGAGTTTGAGGGTTCAGCTCAAGAATCTTTTCAAAGTTTTCGATTACCAGTGGGTTCATAA